CTAGAATTTTATTAGAGCTGGAAAATGTGTTTTTCAAGGTCTTGATAAGACCATTTTTCACCGAAATACAGCCTGCCAAATGTCACCGTAAAATTTGGATTTTGTTCTTGCTCCCTTAATTTTTTTGAATAGTGTGTTTGGCAAAATAGCCAAAATGCCCATTTATTTGTTACACTCCACGAACGCTGCAAACGATATTTCTTACTTTAAGGATTTATTTGATAACACTGCATTGAAATATAGATTGAGAAGTAGATTGGATGATGTATTTTGAACTATATGGCATCATAAATCTAAAGGGATAATCCGAAAATGCAAATTATTTTCGTTAAGCACTCTAGTTCAGGTGTAGGGTCTATAACAGTCAGCATTTCTTATCTGTTTGCTTGTTCTGCTCTGAATAGAATAGGATGACTAATTTTGGTACCACGTAAACACTGGCTACATAGAACAGATGCAACCCTCACAGTCAATCTTACCATTATCTTATCACCTTCCCACCAAAAATGCTGGTAAACATAACTATGGCTTCGTTCCAACAAAGCCGTGTACGGTACAGTGAACCATCATGAGCGTGCGCAGTACGGTTTTAGGGTCACTTAAAACGTACTGCGCACGCTCATGACTTTAAAAACGGCAACAAACAAGTCGTGATTAGTATCACCTCATGATATTGGTTTATATTTTGTTACATAAAAGCGACTATTGCATGACTTTTATACATTCAGTTAGTCTATCGCATAATATACCCAAGGAGTCTTCTATAAAACAAAAATATTCCCTAAGTTTGCAAAACACGATTTTTGTATTTATTTGTCAATTTCGTCTTTGGCGGAGACACTTTCGAGAGACTGCTATTAATCGACTGTAAAATAGGCCAGAGATATCGAAAAATATATTACGTCTTGGAAACGTATTATAAAATCATGATCTTTACATGTCTTTTCTTATATCAAAATAACTTGTTCATCGTCATATGTTTTCGACCATTTAACATCCATTAAAAGTTGACGAATGCGAATTTGGAAGGTAAGACGTATAGTGTAACATACAGCTTTGAGTATTTGAATAAGCAACTATGTTTCGACGTCTGTGAAAAGCTCATCTAATTCTTTGCTGTTAAGAATACAACAATTTGTATGAACAAAGGCACAAATAGATGGAGAATAGATTTCTGTCGAAGAAATTTTGGATCTTAGTAGTGGAAAGTGTACCACATCAGATTTCTATAAAAAGTATTTGTACCCTTATTCCAAAAGTGTTGTATAATCTGGCGAATTTGCTTCCGTAAAAAGAATATGTATGTATAAAGATTACACAACAGAAAAGCAATATAGTTTCCTCCTCAGATGTAGTTCAAAAGATGTGAGCATGCTATCACCGCGATAGGTTCGGTATGTCAATGATAAGAACCTGTGGTGGGTGCGTGCTTGCCTTGGACATTGACATGACGCATTTTTTTTGGTGTCATGTGACGGTCTTAACCAGTTCTACAAGAAACAAAGATAAAATCCAACATTCTTCCAAAAGGTACCGTCTTTTTTGAATGTTGGTAGCAAAATGTATCTAATATTAACATGTTCATAATTCCTATACAGTATGAAGTCGGAACCACAAATGAAACGTTATACACAGGCCTCGTTTTAATTAGGTCTGCTATGTAACATTTTTCCCTCCAGAGCTTCATTAAAAAGATACGGGGTGTTGAAGTTTAAAAATAACAAACATTTATTTTTAATATCTTTAAAACCGTCAACTGGAATGAACTCAAATTTGGTATGTGGATTTACCTAAGTATTGTCTACATTTAAAAGTCTTCACTCAAAGTTAATGTGCACCAGTGGCGCAGATACAGGGGACTAGTTTCATTATTTTTCCAAATAAAAATAGTTGGCCACTATTTTTTTTTTTTTCAGATCGCCCATTTACCACAAATAATTACTCTTCTCTTTTTTCCTAGGGTGCTTGTTTTCGCAAAAATACAAAAAACAAATTAGGTATTCAAAGCTTTAATGCAATAAATGTTCAAAAAGACCACCATTCTGACGGATGCAAGTGCGGCATCCTTTTAGTAAAAAAAAACATATTTCCGCCAAATTTGTTATGAATTGAATTTGATGAAACGTATTATCTATTATTTCTTGTGACCGATCAACAGCACCACCAACAACAAACATGACGCCACTTATCCCCTGTATATCCGCCACTGATGCACGTTAATTTTGAGCAAAAACTTTTAAATGTGGATAATACTTAGGTGAATGCACATACCAAATTTTAGTTCATTCCGGTTGACGGTTTTGAAGATTTTAAAATAAACTTGTTTTTTATTTTAAAACTTCATAGCTCCGTAGCTTTTTAATGAAGCCATCTAGGAAAAAATGTAACATAGAAGACTCTCCTTAAAATGCGGTTCTGTCTATGATGTTTCGTTGTTGGTCACGACTTGTGCATGACCCCGTATATATCCGCCGAGCTAAGCACAGTAAGGGTAACTGAACGTTGTGGACTTCGTGTGTAGCTTTTTCCCTCTCCATCTTCGTTTCCTCAGGTTACACCCGCATCCGTATGTGTGGGCATGTGTAGCTACCTTTGTACTTTCACATGTGCATTCATTTCGGGCCTGATGAAGCCAACCAACAGAAATACGTATCACTCGGGTTACCCATCCTATTTTCTGCTCGAATCCACTTTCCTCCTTTTTGCGGATTTTCCTACCTTTTGTTATATACAGGGTGTTCCATAATTATTGCGACAAAATGATAGGGGTTGTAGAGGGCATCAAAATGAACAATTTTGCCTTATAAACCCGTGTTCGGAAATATTCCGTTTGGGCTGCAGCAAAAAAAAAACATCAGTTTCTTGAAACAGCTTACCTACAGTAATTGCTCAAAGTGTCCTCCACCTAGCTCAATACACAGCTGTGCACGATTGTTCAATGATCGACGAACTCTGTGGCATACCCCCGGTATGTCCTGAACATGTGCGGACGCGGCCATCACTCTTCCCAGTAGCTCTTGTTGGTTGGGAACAGGAGTTTCGTATACTAAAGCTTTCAGATGGCCCCAGAGAAAACAATCCAGTGAGGTCAGGTCGGGTGACCGCGCAGGCCAAGGCACAGGGCCACCTCGGCCTATCCACCTATTTGAAAGTTTGTCGTCCAAATATTGCCGCACTTGTAAAGAAAAGTGGGCTGGAGCGCCATCGTGTTGAAACCACATGTTGGCTCTTATGTTCAGTGGCACATTTTCTAATAGTTCCGGTAGCACATGCTGTAAGAATCGACCATAAGCATGCCCATCCAAACGTGGTGGAAGCAAATATGGCCCGATGATATGCTCGTCCACAATGCCCCACCAGATGTTAATTGAAAACTGATGTTGGTCTCTATGGATGGCTATGGCATGAGGGTTTTCTTCATCCCAAATGTGACTGTTACGGCTATCAAAATAACCGTCCTTTGTAAAACAGGACTCGTCAGTGAACAAAACGTAACGACCAAAGTTTGGTTGCCTCAACTTCTGCTGCAGCCACCAACGACAAAAACGTCGACGCGGCAGATAGTGTTCTGGACCCATGGCTTGGATTTTTAAAAGGTGGTTTGGGTGTAGTTGCTGGTCATGGAGAACCCGCCAAACAGTAGTTTGAGATGCTGCCATATCATGTGCAATAGCACGCACGCTTGTACGCGGATTGGCCTCTACATGATGCATAATCGTTTCCTCAAATCCTACTGTGCGCTTCGTGAAGGGCCGCCCTGCTTCCGCGAGGTGTCTGATGCTGCCACTGACACAAAGACGTCAATGAATCCTTGCAAAAATGGCGTGATGCGGATGAGGACGTTCTGGAAACCATTGGGCGTAGATTCGCGAGGCTCGTCTCTCTTAAGGTAAAATTAGCGGTAGTGCTCAAACGGCATATTTACGAACAGGGGTTTATAAGGCAAAATTGCATATTTTTATGCCCTCTACAACCCCTATCATTTGGTCGCAATAATTATGGAACACCCTGTATATATAGTTTATCACAGTTACTATAATTGGTTTGGTCAAAAACTTAAAGTTTGTGTGTCACTAACTTATGTGTATTAAAGTTCGAACCAGTTTGGATCTAGCCACCTCTGATATATGGCCGCAATACATATGATTAAATGACACACAATCTTCAAGTTTTTGATTAAAGTAATGAAAATAAGTTTAAGAGACCTTTACATATTTGGAATAGGACAAAAAATACAACTTTATTCGATGGCGTTTTTTTCAGTCACCCGGTATATGAAAAAGAACATTACATGATAAACTTTATATAACACTCTGAATTTTTATATGTAACTTTTTCTTCAAGAATCCCCTGCGAGGACGTATAGTACAGTTTTTTTTATTTTCTGTGAAAAACAACCTTGGACATACTGTTCCATATTTTGGACAGTCTAGCCAGGTGTACGTAATTCGGTATAGTATCGGCAACAGAAGCTGCTGTCGCAGGCCGTCCATTGTTTAGAAGAACAACTGAGATGATTCGTATGATACAAAGAAAATATGGAAGTTTATATCAGAAACCTTATCGTTAACTAAATGTGAGGTCAAGCATTCAAGATCAGACGTTAGCTGCAGCGTGCAAAGGCACTTTTTGTACCAAAAAGCCATTACTGCTGTTCGTTCATCAATCTTAGAATCTCATGTGGTTATGTCAAAATTCATCCGTAAGCATCATCAAGAGCAATTTTGTGACTTTATTGCATTAACAAGCGCAGCTGGTAAGTATAAACCGATTTTATTTCACCTCTTTTGTTAAGACATGACTTTCTGCCAAATAACCTTGTAAAAGTCAAAAATAATAATTTCTCCATTTACGCTCAGGCAAGCATTAGTCTAGTTGTCTAGTCTACAGACTTTCACTTCTAATATGCCTTCAATTTGCGAAAGTATGAAATTTTCCTAGTCATTTAACTGGTATTGTACTTATTTTTTTTTTTTATACTCCAACTACCACGAAGGCCTAAGGCCTAAGCACCCATTGGGTACCGTGGGGTATGGGGGATACATGGGAAAGGGGGGACGCCACACGGACTCTGGCGAGGGAACACGTGTGCATGCAACATGCACACATTCTGGCTCCGCCTACGAGAACCGCCGGGTGGTACCTCCGCGTTCGACAGTCAGAGACCATCTACCACCTACGGACAATCACAACATCCATGGCCAAGAGAAACATCCATGGCGAAGGCGAGATTCGAACTCGCGGCCCGGCCGGCCGGCTGATCAGTAGCACGACACTCTGACCCACGCGGCCAACCGAGGTCCCATTTTCAAACGTTTGAGAATATGCAAAGTGTTTTTAGAAAACCACAGCGCTGCAGCGTAGGATAATTATTTACAGTGGTCCATACCATAAACATTTACTGATTATTCCGTTCGTGGATTTCTACGTAACCTTATACAACAATAATTACTGACGTCCTGGTTACGGAGCCAATAAATATGACATTTCAGGTCAAGTATTGACGGATCACAGTAAATACTGATCGTATGACATTTGACTTATTTATTTTTAATATACCGAAGCAGCTGTGACGGCAGAAGCTTCAATACGAGCTGCTGCTATGAGGAACTTAAAGAAACTTAGTTAATCCGATTTTTGATCTGCCTAAGGCTAGTAGAACTGAGACAAGCCCCGTCAGGTAGAACGGTTCAAAATATCGATACCTTAGGGTAAAAAGAGCGGCCGTATCGGCCAGTTCTGGATTTACAAAGTTCGACACGGGTAGGATGAGAGGCCGAAATCAGGCTGGTCTGTCTGCTAGGCATATCACGCGGCGGCATCATGGAGGAGAGCTCCGAGGAGCAAAGCCCGTTGGCATAGCGGTAGAAGCGAGCTAGATCGTCGACAGCCCATCGCAGTCGGTTTGAAACGGTCCCGAGACTATCTGACAGAAAAGAGTCGTTGGTCAGCCGGACAGTCCTTCTCTGAACTCGAGGCTAGGTTTATCTCATTTTCATGTTAGTACCTTTATTCGCTCCAACCTTGATAACTCTATGCAACTGTTGACATTAATCGATACATTAGTCTTTAAAACTTGGTAAAATACATATTCCCGTAGCACTGACCGCGCTGCCACGTCTGACGGGGACAAGGCGACGTCGGCAGATCCACTACCGGTAGGGCAGGGAAAGAATGTCTATGGACTAATTGTATGGACCCGTTTGACTGACTTTTTTCTTACAGGGTCTAGTTGGTGCTGAACATAATCCTATATGAACTGATAACGACGCTGCGTGAGAAGTGTCCCGCTTGATACCATGTTGTTAAATAAAGTACGTTGTACAGCTCGACCGATTGATTTTTGCAGATGCTCAACATGAAACAAATTTTAACAATACAGTATTTTGCAAAATTTATTATATACGCTAGTTACAATTTCATAATTGGTTATTAACCAACATAAAACTGATTTTGGCAGAATTTTATTTCTTTTGCTTTTTTATTCACAAACACTAACATGTGTCGAGAGCAGATATCGTAATTTGACAAGTTTTTTTTTTATATTTGTGACACTAAATACTGGACTAATGTTTCAAAGTACTCTGCACCATATGAAATAATATTATTAACTAATATTGTGTAAAAAAGAGAACTGTCCACACGGCGATATCATTATACAGGGTGTTTCAGTTTATTGTTGCATAACTTTAAGATTCGATAGAACTTTTAAAACTAATGCATAAAGTCTATATAAACATGGCTCGAAAAATGAGTGGCTTCCGAAATACAGGGTGTTTAAACTTACTTTCTAAAATAGTGTTTTTTTAAATATTTCGAACAATTTTTGATGTATAACAGTAAAAATTGGTATACAAGGGTTTTTTGGTACAACAAAACGAACCATGGGCATAGTTTTACTGTAGCCGCTAGAGGGCGCTCTCTATTGTACCTGTAGTGTATTAAAATGACCGAAAAAATTTTCTTAGTACAATTTTTTGCTTTTTGAAGAAAAAAACTGATTTCTCGCACTTTTCAATACAAAAAAGCTCTCCTGTGAGTTTTCGTTATAGTTAGCCGTTATTGAGATATTTCGATTTTTAAGGTTCGATGCATTTTTAATTATCTATGGGAAAATAATATTTTTTTTACATTTTCGATTTGGGCATTACAAGTAATTAAGATGATCGTTTAGATTGTGTTTTTAAACACAGCAATAATTCCTAACTCCAAATAAACACAAAAAAACAGAATATTAAGTTGTTTAATTTTCCAATATTATTTTTAACAAATTAAATTAATTATTTACAACTAAAATGCTATTGGATCGTTAGGACAAACATACAAAATCTAAAGTAGTTGCTCGAAATGTAAACCCAATTGTTCAATACATAATTTACATCTACGAATGATCGAACGTAGTATAGCATTATTCAAATAAGGCCTTATTTCATCACATGCATTCCTGATTCTGTCTATTAGCAAATCTCTTGTGGTTACGGGAGTCTGGTACACATTTTCTTTTAGAAATCCCCACACAAAGAAATCTAATGGATTTAGGCCAGGCGACTGGTCCTCCACGGCCGATCCATCTTTCTGGATAATTTTCGTCCAGCCAATTTCTAACTATTCTCGAATAATGAGCTGGACAACCATCAAGCTGGAACCAGGCCAATCTTCTTAAATCTAACATAACATCATCCCACATATATGCATGCTCAGCCTTTAAAAATTCCAAGAAGGTCGCAGCATTTAACCTTGCAGGCACATGGTAGGGTCCAAATAGTCGATTACGGTAGATACAAATCCACACGTTCACACTAAATTCATGCTGAAAATTTCTCTCCCGAACTGCATGCGGATTTTCATGCGATCAAATATGTTGATTATGAAAATTTACCACTCCACGTCTAGTGAAGCATGACTCATCGGGCCATAAAACGTTACTTAAAAACTCCCTATTATTATCAGTTCTATCAAGAATCCACTGACAAAATGTGATTCTTCGTTCTCCGTCCCCTGGCTGTAGTCCTTGCATAGGTTGCAAATGGTAAGGACGTCTATGGTCATTTCTAAGAATACGGTGAATATGGCTTGCTGAAATTCCCAAGGCACCAGAAACTCTCCTAACACTTGTGGCCGAATCTCTATTAAACTCACGCAGAATCATACGGGTAAATCTCCGCTGACGAACATTTATGTTTTGATCCCTTTGGAGATTTCCAAAACCATTTTCAATTATTTGGCGATGCACTCTTACAAATACTGAGCGAGTTGGATGTCGTCTGTTTGGAAATCTTCGTGCGTATTCTCTGGCTGCTTCTGCTGCGTTTCCATTTACAAAGCCATACACAAAATGAATATCCGCTAACTCTTGATTAGAAAATGAAAATGGCATTTTTATAAAACTTACAGAAAAAAACAGGTAAAAGAAACTAAATTTCATGCATTCACAATTGCAAAAAAACGTTTCAGGTTTCAACAGACAACAAAACTAACTGTCAACTAATTGACGTTTAACCTTATTCTACTTTCAATTTCAAAACTATTTGCAGGCACAGCCCACTTCTAAAAATTATCGAGATACTGACTTCTTAACGTTATTTTATCATAAATAATTAAAAATGCATCGACCCTTAAAAATCGAAATATCTCAAAAACGGCTAACTATAACGAAAATTCACAAAAGAGCTTTTTTATGTTGAAAAGTGCGAAGAATCAGTTTTTTTTTCAAAAATCACAAAATTGCACTAAGAAAAAATTTTCGGTCATTTTAATACACTACAGGTACAGTAGAGAGCGCCCTCTAGCGGCTACAGTAAAACTATGCCCATGGTTCGTTTTGTCGTACCAAAAACCCCTTGTATACCAATTTTCACTGTTTTACATCAAATATTGTTCGGAATATTTAAAAAAAAACTATTTTAGAAAGTAAATTTAAACACCCTATATTTCGGAAGCCACGCATTTTTCGACCCATGTTTATATAGACTTTATGCATTAATTTTAAAAGTTCCATCGAATCTTAAAGTTATGCAACAATAGACTGAAACACCCTGTATAGCCCCACCAATTATTGCCCAAATTGACTCATTTTCTGTAGAGTACCAGAATCATCAAGATGATAATGACAGGCGGTAAATATCACGCTTACAGGCGCAAATGCTTCATTTATAGAATAGCACTTATAAACTACTATACTAATTATTAGATTTGATGACTAGTGACTCCAACATTAGAGCACATTAAGAGCAAGTTTATTCTAATGGACATTTAAATGACTTGTCGATGCTGACAAATAAAAGGACGTATAATGTGTGAAAAATCATAAGTTTGAAGAAGTATACAATGAATGGTGATCCACTGCTTCCGGCTCAGAGATTGTGCACCCATTCGGGTGAGGGTTGCAGCTATTGTGAAGTTTTTAATTCATCCTGTGAACTTGCGAAGGTGTTGGAGTAAACCTGTGTGACTAGTTGTTGAAATTGCATTTTCCATGAAGCTGTTTGTAGATAATTCCGACTCAGGCGGTATTTCTAGATGCTGGCCAAGCAAAGTAAAGGAGACCTCCCGTCGCTGATATACAACGAAGGAAAGATTGTAAGCAATTCCAAGCTTTTCGGCTAGCACCACCATGGATATGAAAACCTACGCACACTGGAGTCCGGTATGTGGAGCCTAAGTAACTGAAGAGTGTGCTGAACCTTTATTCCATCGAAACCTCAGGCTTCAATACCTTTTGAGCACTATTCCTTAATTCTGATCATCACTAATGGAAGCTGAATGTTAAATCTCACATACGGAATGTTCGTTCAGTAGTTGGTAACTTCTCGGTGACTGTCAAAATCAGAATCAGAGAGATGTTACCAGTTTGACCGCTCTGACAGACAATGACGAATAGAAAATATTACCTGTTCGTACAGTTTCTGACTGTTTGCCGACAGCTAGTCCGCTGTTCGTACAGGTCAAAGAATGCGAGTCAGTCAGAGACATTGATAGGTGTCAGAATGTGTCGAAACTATGTTCAGGTCTAATATTGCGTCGCAAAAGGCATTTACTATTCGATGATTCTTCTCTAACGGACAGGCTGGGGACACTTTTACACTGGTGGGCCGTCGGCGATCTAGCTTTCTTCTACTGCTAAGATTTGCTCCTCAGAGCTCTCCTCGATGATGCCGCCGGGCGATGTCCCTGCCAGATAGACCCGCCTGACTGATAGTGTATCGAGATTGTGAGGGAGATGCGGAGGCTTTTACCAGTTCTATTAACCTTAGGCAGTTTAAACGTCGGATTATCGAAGTTACTTCAAGCTCCTCAT